CATAGTGCTATAGCACTATAATGCTATACTATTATAATGATATTTTAATAAAATTAATTTATTAAACTTTTTTATTATATCATATAAGACAAGGATTGCATCATAGTGCTATAGCACTATAATGCTATAACACTATAACAATATTTCCTTTTTAAAATTATTAATAAATTTTTAAGTAATAAAATTTTTAAAGTTTTTGTTTAAAAATTTTTATTATATATTAAAATTTTTTTAAGGTTTTTTAAAATTTTATATATTTTTGAAAATAAAAAAAAAATTATTTTTAAGATAAGTTCAAATTTTTATAAATAAGTTGTAAAAGTTATAATAATAAAAATTGTTATCCTTTATATACGCTATACTTTTGTATTAAGAACTATAGTTTTAAAATTAATATTTAATTGATGATTCTTCAGTGAACTAAAGAATAATTATAGTGAAATGTGATATGATTTTATATATAAATCACTATAGATGCATAAAAAATTTTTTTAGTGATTGTCTAAGGAAAACTTTTTTTATACTAAGTTAATCACCTTTAAGTCTCTAAGTAAAGTTGTAGAACTTATCGAAAAGAATCTAATAGTAGTTAGATTATCTAAATTGATCTAGTATACGCCAAGATATTTTTGAAAAATATTTTATTAACTACAATATATAAAAATTCTTTGAATTTGTTTTTAAAAAATTTTATATAGTCAGCAAAAAGTTTTTTAAAGAAATCTTAATATCTACTAGGTTAATTTAGATGATCTAACTACTATTAGATTCATTTCGATAAGCTCTGCAACTTTATTTAAAGACTCAAAGTTGATTAATTTAATATGAAAAAATTTTTTTTAAATAATCACTAGAAAATTTTTTTTTACATCTATATATTTTGCTTTACAAATTTTGTTGTATTTTCTGCTTTATTTATATTATTCTACTGAGTACTTTGCCTTATAAAAATATTAGATGAATTCTACAATAAATTAATATTTTATTTTTTTTAAAAGTTTTTTTTTATAAAATAATATAAACATATTTCTTAACTACTCAAATACCTAATCAAATAAGTAACTTTGTTATCCAATATTACATTACAATAGTCAAAGTTAAAAAAAAACTTTCGCAGAAACTAAACCAACCTTATATAAAGATAAAATTTTTTTATTTTTTTATTTACTTTTTTAGAAAAAATTAATTATGGCTAATTATTATATGTCGGGAATGATGCTAAATCGGATGACGGACTTATTTTATGAAAATTTTAAATTTTTTTTGGGTGTTTTGTTCAACTTTTTTTTTTATAGTTCGATTAGAATTTAGAGTTAGTGTTTATACATAATAAAAGAGTATAGGTAGATTTTAGTAGGGTTTATATTTTCAAATTAAGAGTATCATCCGATTTTAGCATCATCCCCGACATTATAAAACTATGCATTTGCTAGTTTCAAATAGATACCGGATACGTCGAAAAGTTAAAAAAAATTTTAGCCAAAAAGTGTGATTATGAGCCAATCAAAATTCAGAAGTCTTCCATAGAGTGTTCTAGAATCGATATCCAATTTAAACGTAACAGAAAAGACCTTAAGCAAAAATTTAGGATTATTCTGCATAGCAACTGTTAGCACTTCTTCGAAGGTAGAGACGGTTTTAATTTTTATTTTTTATCTGTGAAAAATGTTGCTTAAAATGTATAAATACAATTGTAAGTAACAGACCAATCAGAATTAAGTATCCAATATTTCGTGGCGATAGTTCTAAGTCGGTTATCACGTGACGTAGATTTAATATTGAAATAACTTGACAGTTAACACAATAATTTAGTTTGAACACTTCAAAATGGATCGCGAGTCTGATCTGTTTAAAGTGGATCGCACGCCTCCTCGTGAACAAGAGCAACCACATCCTGGCATTCAAAGTTTTGCTCAGCAACGACCATCAATCAATGCACATCCAATACCCCAACTACACATGGCACCTCCTTTCCGACCGCTTTTACCTTCGGGCTGGACTGAACATCGTGCACCTAATGGACAGTTTTATTACTACAACGCCGCAACGGGTCATAGTACGTGGGAAAGGCCAGCGACAGTCCCGCCGCCCCCTCCTCTTGGCCCCCCTCACATGAGTGGCGGTATGGTCTCGCATTCCTTTCAGCCGATGCCTACAGTTATGCCGTTACCGATTCAACAACAAAGCTTTCCGATTCAACATCAAAAAGAACTTCCTAAAGAGAAAACTAAAAAGGAGAAAGCGAAATTAAAGTTAGTATCTCAAATCATTTATGCTTTGTTAATTTTTTTCAGGTTATAACATTGTTATTCAGAAAACCAATTCCAGATACAAAATGGTCCATTGTCTTTACGACAGAAGGCAATGAATTTTACTACAATTCTGAGACAAAACAATCCGTATGGCAAGTTCCAGAGGAAATTGCAGACGCTGTCAAAGCATTTAAAGAATCAGAAGAAAGGAATGCCCAAGCATTACATGATACTGCTGGAGTCAAAAGAAAAGCAAATGATGAAGAACAAATGACCAGTGAGGAGGTGAAGAGAGCTAAAGGAGGCATAGACAATGTTGCAAACGAAGGAACCGAGTATGTTTTATTTTATTTTATTTTATTTTAC